AATGCCAGCACTTAGTGAAGGGATCGGCTATGCGTACTTCTCACTGAGTTGGACGAAGAAGTGTTGGGGGAATAAATTTAACAGATGTGTAAATCGCTAAGGTTTGCATAAGCCGAGGAATGCAAGGAATTAGAGATAGGTAGTTTTGTTATTATAAACTGAGAAGTTAGCAACTGCGAGTTCGCATTAATTCTAGAAGCTTGGCACGACTGCACAGGCCAGAAACCAAAAATCTCTGGATGGGAAAAGAGAAGCGGCCTTCCATTGATCCACCGTGTGAGTACACGAGGATCTTAACGTTAAGATCTCCTTCGTTTAAAATTAGGCCGGTGGAACTTGGTTACCGGTTGTGGGACTACCAGTTGGACGCCGAAAGTAGATCTAAGAGTCTGGAAAGTATGCCTTTACTGTGCGAAGGAATTATTTATTAACAAACATCTGATGTGTTGAGAAGTTCCACATTTTCCTCCGTTTCGTTTGCCTTAAAAAGGCTTCCTCCAAACACCGTAAATCATTTGTCTACTGCACTTCAGATGTGTCGCTAGGGGGGAGTTAACTGGATGTTCCACGCGGCAGCTGAGCAATGAGCTATTCAGAGGTACCGTAAATGTTAGGTTATATTCACCTTCCAGTGCACTTTGCAGATTTTCACGTTCCGCATACGAGAGAGAAAGAGAAAAGCTTCAAGCGCACAAGAACGCGGCGCATAGGCAAGAAGAACCAGGCTAGCAAACAGCTCAGTGAGGACCCGCCCTAGCACGAAACTGTGGTGCGCTTTTTAGACGCGGTCCTCAACATGCCTGTTACAAAAAATCGAAGAAGGCGTGAACCTACCTGGCCTGGTATTTAGTCACGGTTATTGTCTCATCCGGTTGTAAGGTCAACGTCTGAAACAACGAGCCCATGCTCAGGCGGAAAAGGACGGCCTAAAACGGCAGAAGAGGAAAGAGAGGATTTAAAAAGCATGTGATGGTGGTTGCCATTGGAGGCAAACAACAGGGCCGGCCGTGCGTACTTGCTATAGCCTGTCGGCGCAGTTTTTTGAGTTGCCTCAAGGGAGCTTAAAAACAGACAGTAAGTGCTATGTCGATGATATCTTTGCTATCGCCACAGCAGACACTAATATAGACTC